ACCCTGCAGGTGGTTGTCCCAGTCTGTCGGGTAGTTGCCCATGAATTTGGACAGGCAAGAGATGATGCAGACGGCCTCGACCGGCAAGTGCTCGCCCTGCAGCTTGAGATTTGGACATATGTCGATGTAGTAGGTGTCCGTCCGCGTGGGTTCAGGCGACGCAACGTCTGTGAAGGACCACTGCGGCAGCGGTGTGTAGGTCGTGTAGAAGGAAAAGGCATTGGCCTCGTGGACGGGGATCTCAATCTCACACATGCCAGTAAAGTTGGGCTGCAGTCTGCGGTGTGTGTTAGTGACATGTGACCAGGCAAGGCATGGCAGGCTGCTTACTTGTACTCGCGGTACTGGCTGCGCTTGAACTTCTCGCCCTCAGCGGGGATGTTCACCCACAAACTGCCCTCGCGACATATCGAGCTGGTACCCTGGATCTGAAAGCAAATCGAGTATGCTGGGTTGGTGGGGGGAGGCAGGTAGATGTAAGTGCCAGCGACGTCTGGGACGCCGTAGTCGGTCAATGGCAGCAGGTAGACGACCTTGCGGTCCGAAGACTTGGGGTGTGTTGGCAGTGCTACAGACATGATGGTGTCGAGAGACTGAACGATTGCGGGATAGTTATGCGGTAGTAAACAATAATAGTAGGTGGATAGCGGTACTCTAGGATATCTATCTTTGACGTAGCAATGGCGGCGATGCAGTCAGAGAGAGTGGTAGTAATGCAGTGTAGGAGCAGCGCGGTCGAGGGAGGTAATAAACAGGCCAAAAGCCGTTTGCGCAGTCGCTTCTGAGGGTCAATTGCCCTCTGTGTGGAGAGAAGGAAGCAGCGCCTGGAGACGTGTGAGATCGGCGGTGGGCGGTCGCGAAGCATACGAGCCGCAAGCGCAACCCGCGGGAAACGTCATTGCCCCAAGCTCCAACCCCAGCTGGCGCCCCGTGTGGCCCCGTCCTCGACAAGTTCTACTCCAATAGCGCGGGGGCTAGGCATGCGTCCCAACCCGATCCAGTTGGTACGAGGGAAATTGTTGAACACGTTGAAACTGCCATGGAAACGCTTTCTGCCATGCGACGATATCCACATATGATACAAATGAACCCGCTCAAAATGCTACTTCTTCCTGCCCCGCTCTCCCAACGCCCGTATGCAACATAATGCAGAATGCAGGGTTAAATAAGCAGCTAATCAATACGCGGCCAAAACTCCAGCGCTGGCTACTAAACAATTATCGGGCAATACAGCTGCCACGAGCTCAGAGTGGTCAAACGACGGGTATCGCGACCTCGTGGCAGCCCACACGGGACGAAGCGAACATGCGAAAACCAAGCAGTCAAATCCAACCTTCTTCTATCGTCACCTCAGCCAGAGGCGCTCAACACATGGTCCGCTGTCTTCTCAGCTTCCGCGTCAAAATTTAATGTTGAAGGGGGAGCCCGGTGGATCGCGCAAGTCCAGTCGAAATTGCGTCGATTCAGACGGCCCGCGACTGTGTTGTGCTTGAGTCGGCGTGGCATTCTCATCTAGATCGATCGAGGACGCTTCGGTGCTGACCGACGGGGGCGCACGCGGTGTGCTTCTCGCATGCTGAACCCCCTCTCGACTGTCTGAAGACGACGTGACTCGCTCAGGCGACGTCTCGCGCTCGCTATAGCCACCGCCCCGCATACGTAAAACGGGGTTGTTTGAGGGTTCCGACAAGACCAGTGAAGGGTTTGGTGGTGTAGCGCGTCCGTTCCTCTCAGATGAAAGCCCTCGCGAGGATGACTTGACATGGTCAGTAGACTGACTCCGCATCGTCGCCGGCTTCTTCGGAGGCGGCACCTGGGGCGAGTTCGTGCCTTTGCTTCTCCCAGCGCTTTGAGGTGGGCCGTTTCTGGATGGAGTCTGTTGTTGTTGCTGTAGGTGGTGCTGTACTTGTTGCTGCTGTTGCTGTTCTTGTTGTTGCTGCTGTTGCTGGGACTCAACTTCTTGCACATGGTTCAGGAAGTTGATTTCGTCTGTCAAAAAGTCCTTCTCCGTCCAACAACCCTGCCAGCAATTTCGCCAGTCCAGAATAAGGAATTGGAAGCAAAAGGCGTCGATTTTGATAGCCGGCTGGAAACAGATGCACAGGTTGTTGTAATTCATCTTGTTGAATTCGGAACATGAGTGCAACAGGCTGATGTGGCAGGTAATCGCAAACAGTAAGTAGTAGTTGAATGGTGGGAGCTTCGAGAGCTCATCCTTGAGCATTTGCGGCGTCGTCTTGGCGCCCTGGCATTCTTGCTGGATTGCCGTCTGGACCGCTTTTGGGAAGATTTCATCTGGCAGTTGTCGGAGCCAGTTCTTGAAGAGTGAGCCGATGACGTTGGGGTCGTTCAGGTTGGGATCGCTGATCAAGTCGATGTCTCGGTCTGTGGCTTAGTGAGCAATTGCCATGGAAATGAATGAGATAGTCCTACCTTCATCGAATTTGCGTTCGTAATATCGGACCTGCTGGGCTGACCCAGGAACGCGGTACAAGCCTTCCTCTTCACAGCCCCGCATGTTCAGGTAGCTAAAGTGGTTATTAGCCTCACAGGTGGAGAACGAATCGAAGCATGACCTACTCTATGCACCGCCAAGGTAAAGCTGGCATCCAGAACTCAGTCTTGTCGCGTGACTGTTCCAAACGGGTCGATATCCGTGTCAGCCTCGTCTGTTCGATCAGGGGCTTGTGAATGATTTTGCACACGTAAGGTTCATTCGATATCGGCGTCTGGCTCTCGTGGTTGCTTGAGCTTCGTCCAAGTTTGCCGAATACGCCCTTGCGGGCAGAGTCCATCTTCTCCCCCATGTTGCGAGCACCTGAACCAAGTTTCGAGATGAAGCCGTGTCCCTTGGTCTCGTTGTACGAGCTGGAGGCTAGCGATATCTGCTCCGACTTGTCTCTTCGTGGCCCATTGTCGACATCCCGTGGGATCTGCTTGGAGCTATCCTGACGATCTGCCGAGTGTGTTCGTGGCTTGCCTATGCCGCGCCAAGATTGACCTTTGTCCATGGGTGCCGGCTTCAATGGCGGGCCATCACCATTTGTCGTCCACGAACCCCCAATATCTGGTGACAGCTGCCCTGGCGGCGCCTTGTTCAGTTTTGCACGGGTACCTGAGCTCTCGCCGTCTTTGATGGATTTCGACCTGTTCAAAATGCCCTTCTTCGGTTTGATGGTGTTGCGCTTTGAGGAGTCGGCGTGGGGATCGGAAGAGTCGTTGGAGTTGCCTGAGCCTGTCCGTAATACCTCGGAGCGGTTGTCTGTGGCAGTTAGCGACACGCAGTTTGTCTGGGCTACTGTAGCCATACCATCCGAGTTGGGGGTGCGCACGGGGCGGCCGAGGTCTGGTGTCGAAGCCCCGCTGCGCCCGTTGGAGTATAGACTGGGCGAGTGTTGTTGTTCAGGAAGCTGCCGTATCGAGTTCCCCTGGCTGTTAAGGCGTGACGATGACTTGTTGGCGCTGAAGTTGGAGAAGATGCTCTTGGAGTCCTTGCGAGGCTTCGGCGAGGCTGGTGACTGTGGCATGCTATGAAAGGAAGCATTGGGAGCGGCATAGTCGAGGTCCTCAGGCATATCTGGCGACCTCGGACTTTTGGGGCTCATAGGGCCGTTGGCGTCGTCCTTGTTCTTTGGCTTGCCCCGCATAGCCAGCGACAGTGTCGAGGACTTGGGCATCTTTCGTATTGTTTTCCGTGGAGGGTCGCAGGGCTACTGACTCCTTAGCACGGCTCCCTTAAAAAGCAATGGCTGCTGCCAAGCGTGCAGGTCGAGGGCCGCAATACCTCGATGGGTGTGGGTGGGACGAGGGCGCCGATGTGCAGGCAGTCGAGCGAGGGTGTGAATAGACGGTGCGGCGCGTGCTGAGAAGGGAGCGGTGGCAGGCTCAGTGGTTGCGGCACATGGGCGGTTGCGCGGTCAACGAGTCTGTATTTCATGACTGTCAGCAGCGGACTCATAGCTGGCGCAGAGGGGTGAAAGCCAGCGGGCGGTATTAGACGGCGCGCGGGGTGGTACGAACCGTGAGAGCCTGGTCGGCGCTGGCTGCGGGCGTGCCTCGAAGCGTCGGCAGCGGGTGTCGAGTCTATATCACCGCCGGCAGGACGTTGCTCCCATGCAGCAAGCCGGGAGGACAGGCGATGCCGAGCGCGTGCTACGGCAGTCTTTGGCGGGCACAGAGGTCGTCGAGTATGGCGGTCGCGGGCAGGTGAGGCGGTCATGCAACGTCTGGGATGTGGTCAGCAAGCGCTGCGGAACGTGAAAGGGGCCGGCGGCGCTATGGCGAGTGTTGACGGTGGTACAACATGGCGAGGGCACGAGTGGCAGCGGCGAGCGAGGTGTCGCAGCGCCGTGGTTGGGCATTACTCACCCACTTTCACACACAGGACTCGAGGGGTCTACGGGGCGCCGCGACGAGGGAGAGGCGCTGGGGTGAAGGGAGCGAGTGGAGCGTGGAGCGCAGGCTGGGCGGCCGTTGCTTGGAGTGCGTTGAGCGGCGCCTTGGTCAGCAAAAGGACACAATTCACGTGTCTCTGTGGTGAGTGCGATGGAGGGGCCCAAGGCACAGACAGGCTCTGCTGCAATCAAGAGCAAAGGGCACCAAGGGCTGCGAGAGGATGGCGGCAACGACTTCAGCACCGTGCACGGCCCCAGGTACAGTACGAGGGCGCGACGCTGCCACCACCTGCACCCCCCAATTCGGCCCACCAGCGCTATCGCAAACGGCTGTCCACGGCGGGCGTAGTGCCGTCTACCTAAGTAACATGCATGTGTGCTCACCGCCAGGCGGCAGACTATCGACGGCAGACTATCGACGAGCACCTCTGCATCGTCATTGTTGCGAGTGCGAGGCTGTCGCGGCTGCCAGACCGAAATGCTTCATGTGCCAAGTCTCGTTTCAGAAATTATGAGACCCTGTCGGCGCCATCCATGCTGCCTCGACTAGACCCTCCCGCGCCGCCAGCTCCCACCAACTCCTCCCACATCTGACACCCGTCTAACATGTCTCTCGTTTCCGGGCCCGGGCGCGCTGCTGGGATGGCCAGTCTGCCCAGCGAGATGCACCTCTTCGTCGACAAGCACGTCGCCTACATCCAGAGCCTCGACACTGTGCGTAGCCCGTCCCCAGTCCCAGCGGCCGCGCAAGCTCCCGGCCATCCAATCCCGCGCTGACCCGCTGCAGCGCAAAGATGAGCTCGAGTACTGGCTCACCGAACATCTGCGCCTCAACGGCCTCTACTGGGGACTGACGGCCCTGCATCTCCTGGGCCGCCCAGATGCCCTTCCACGCGCTCCCATCCTCGACTTTGTCATCTCGTGTCTGCATGATAATGGCGGCCTCGGTGCTGCACCGGGCCATGATGCCCATATGCTCTATACCGTTAGTGGCGTGCAGATACTCGCGACGCTTGACGCTTTCGGTGAGCTTGAAGAGCGCAGCCCCGGCGCCCGCCTGAAGATTGCAAAATGTAAGTCATCTGCAGCTTCGCCGTGATAGTCTACTCATAAAGGTAGTCATCGCCGATTTGCAAGATCGCGAGACGGGCACCTTTGCAGGCGATGAGTGGGGCGAGCAGGATACCCGCTTTCTCTACGGCGCCCTAAATGCCCTGTCTCTCATGGGCCTGCTTGAACTCGTAGATGTCGACAAGGCCGCTCAATACGTCAACTCGTGCGCCAACTTTGACGGTGGATACGGTACCAGCCCCGGGGCCGAGTCGCACTCTGGTCAGGTGTTCACGTGTGTTGGCGCACTGACCATCGCGGGGAGACTCGACCTTGTCAACCAAGAAAAGTTGGGCGCCTGGCTAAGCGAACGACAGCTCAAGAACGGAGGCCTCAACGGCCGGCCAGAGAAGAAGGAAGACGTCTGCTACAGCTGGTGGGTTATGAGCAGCATGGCCATGCTAGACAAGCTGCACTGGATAGACGGTCAGAAATTGACGAGCTTCATCCTGCAGTGCCAGGTGGGTGTGTCTTCTCTTCACCATCATCGCCATCTAACCATGAACGATAGGACCCGGATCTGGGTGGTCTCGCAGACCGACCTGGCGACATGGTCGACGTCTTCCACACTGTCTTTGGAATCGCTGGTCTCAGTCTGCTGAAGTATCCCGGTCTGGAAGAGGTAGACCCCGTGTAGTATGTGACCACTGCTCTCGCAATTCAACGCGTATACTAACCAACCCTCAGCTGCATGCCTCGCTCAGTCACCCGTAGATGCTTAGGTAAGTAAGCGAGAATGCCATCAACAAACGCTAATTGTGTCGCATCGTGCTTGCATATTCCATGACCATTCACTTGCATTCGTATCTGTGTATCATCTGTCTAAAGCCTATTCTCTCGCTATCTAATACCTCGCGTCTCTCCCATAGGCGTCGAGACACAAAGCGGGAGGAAAGTGAGGGTGGCTTCCTCTTTTGTCAGTGCCGAGCCCCCACGTGCTCTGCCTGCTAGAACACCACCAACAGACCTCTTCTTGCTGCAATTCCTCCACTGCGATACTGCACCTGCCTCTCTCCTCCTTACCAGTGCTGGCGCCTCTCCTGCTTTCCATTTATTCGTTCAGGAAATGGGCTAGGAGCTACCGCGGTGACCGGCAGCCATCTCTGTACTAGGTCTCTCATGAGCACCTCTCCCACCGTCACTTCGCCTTCTCCACCTTCAGTCCGCTCCTTTCGCAACGCTCTTTGCTTTCACTACTGTGCTGCTCTTGTGCTTGTTTCACTTACGCTCCTTACAAACACCGCATCCACACTGCAGCTTTCACCTGGATACAGTGCAGCCTCGTCAGGCTTTCGGCATGGCCAACATTCCGCTGCACTGCAACATTTGCCCCAAGAAGCCAAACTTCAGCGATGTCTCGCATCTACTCACCCACATCGCCAGCAAAGGCCACTTATCCAACTACTACAAGGTCAAGGTCCGCTCCACCAACGAGGATGCATCCCGCCGGCTCATTGAGACGTACGACCAGTGGTATGCCGAATGGGCTGTCGAAGAGCTCATGTCGGACCGGATGAATCAGAAGGACAAACGCCGTACCCGCGCGAGACCCGCTGGTACAGCTACCTCCTGCATCCGATTGTACTTGAGACTGATACTGACTACACCTGAAGCAGCCCGGCCGGCGCCTCCTGTCAAGATCGAGGCCCCCGCGCCACGTCCTCTACGTCGCGCCGCCGCGAGCGCTCTCCTCGATCCACGCCTGTCGGAGCAGCAGCACACGATGATCAAGCTGGAGCAGTCGCCTTCTCCGACGCCGCAACCTCACGGCCCGGTCCTCCGCAATCGCAATACCTTCGCACCTCATATGCAGTATTGGCCTACAGAGTCTCGCGCTAGCTCTCGCAGCTATACCAACCCAGACTATGATACTTCCAGTGAATACTCCGATCCGAGCGAGCAGCGCCGGAGGTCATACCGGTACAACGCTGCGGCTTCGTGTGCCATTGAAGATGAACCTGCTGAGGTCGCAGATCCGATGGCTGTCAGCGAGTCGACCAAACTCAAAGGTGTCTATTGGCCTGGCATGGACATCTTCGACTCTGCTACCCCAGAGATGCGGCGTAAGAGGAACCAAAAGAAGGACAGCTCTGTCGTCGAACAGCTGGAGCTCAACTCACAAGTAGTCGAAGCAACTGAGCTCATCTTCACACCGTTGGGGTCTTTCAAACGCCAGCGCAGGATCTCGTGCTCGGAGTCTGACGAAGAGGATGAGGTCGAGATCAAGACTGAGAGCCCCCAGCCTGTACGTCGGCGACCTGCACTCGCCAGTCTTGATACAAACACTACTCGCCGCTCTACTAGACAGTCCAAGCGGCCCGTGTTTCCTATTCTCAGCCGCAACCAATACGATGATGATCGCGGCCGTCCTGGCTACGACCATAGTCGCAACAACCGTGCTCCGAAGCGGAAGCAGTTTGACGTTTACCAAGACGAGGATGACGTTCCATTCTCGCAGCCCAATGGCATGAACTATCTTACATCGGGCTTCACTCACCAAGCATCTCCATCTCCTGCACCTGCATTCAACTCTTACAAACCCTTCAACGACCCATTCCAGTATGATAACAAGGAGAACGTTCTACCTTCGTTCCACCAAACGGCTTATGGTAACTTTCATGGCCATCAGAACAATGCCTACCAGTATCCCACCTACTCCTACGGCATTGGGCCTGATCAACAGGCCTTCCAGTACACCAGTCATCTCTACAACACTGCAAGCGCGTACCAGCAACAGGACCAAGATGACGATGACCAACGTACCATCACAGCTCCACCTTCACCGTCTACAAGCTAAGCGCTTGGACATTGTGCTCTCATTCCATTCCCAACGCGACACCTACGCTCGGCTTCGCCGTGCTGTAGCAGATACCCGACTGTTCACGCTCGTTCCATCTACCGACTTATGCATGCGACTTACTTTCCCGCGTTTCTTTCTGGTTCATATCTTTTACACGGTGATATATGATATACGCTGCAACGAGTAGCGACATGCGACATGATTTAATACGATATCTTCAGAGAGGCGCGCTATGGGGATCGCTGGACAGATACTCAGGCATGTTCTTCTTATCTCTATGCCACACCCTACTGTACACTTTGCTCGCAAGCATGGGACTGCTGGTTAGAAGCTGGTGGGCATGTATAGTATCGCTGTTTTCTCCCTTACATGTTTAATGCAGAGAGTTTGTTGTCTTCCGATCACGTAAAATCATAACTTCTAGATCTGATCCATGACTTCCACCGCCGCTCTAATACCCACCTGCAGTGCTCCTGTCTACACCATCCACCTCCATTTCACGCTTCCATAGCTTCCGCGCATCATAACATCATCTAGTCGTATGCCAATGTTCGTACCTTCCCCTTCTTACTCCCATTTCCCACTACCGCCCATGACCTTATTCCGTCGTACCTTCTCCAGATGCTCCACACTCTCATAGCCATTAATCCTCGCATACAGCACCCTCAACAACCCACCTACCACCCACATAATCACCCCACTCACAACGAACAACCCGATTCGCTGATTCGTCGTCAGCATCGCAAAGATGGGATAAGGATAGAAGCCATTCTGCAAAAAGCAGATTTCCTAGAAGATGGTGTGTGTGGTTAGCTGAGTGTACTTGAGAGCGTTTTGAGAATGGATATTCTTACGATCCAGATCCAATATGTAAACGCAGTGATGGTGGATAGAGCGAGTGTGATCATAGGCGCAGACTCATTCATCGGCGTGGTAGGCCATGGTGGCGAAAGCAGTATGTAATCCAGGGCCAAAACAACAGCAGGGACGAGATGGAATCCTATATCGTAGATAGCTGGTGGTAGCGGTATATCCCTATCAGCCAGGTTCTGTCAGCAAAACCGAACGCCACGGGAACAATATCGAACCTTGGAAATCAAGGGTAAAAGAAAAGACGACGTACGGCTGCACCAAAAGCTTCCCATCAATAGCCTTCAACGTCCAGTACAGAATGCTGATGGTGGCTTCAATCGGCGCTGCTACGAGCGCGAGGTAGTTCTTTAGCCGGAATAGGTGGTCTGAGAGGGCGACGGCTGGCGGGTTTGAGGGGAGCGTCGAAGAGGCGGAGAGGGCGGTGGAGGTCAGGTCTGCGATGAGGCCGAAGAGGAAGGTTATTGTTGAGAGGGAGAGGCCGATTATGGTTAGGAATTGGAGGTGCCAGCCGAATGATGAGTTCTGGGATTGTTTGTTAGAGCGCGGGTGGAAGGGTGGTGAGGATTGAGATTTTGTGTGCAACGACTATTATGGCATGTGAAGATATGTTTTCGAGAATGGTCTGTACATACAAAGACATTTGGGTTATCAATTAAGCTGGACTCATGTTAGCTGGTTGCAAAGTTGGCGGGATGCAGACATACAACTTGAAGGAACTGTAGAAGCTAATCAGACCAGCAACCTGTGATACAAATACTCGTCAACATTTGGCCTTGTCTAACGTTTTCCAAGGTTCTCTGTTACTTACGTGCAACGCACCCGAAAATCCCTTGGATGGAGAGTCAAATCGCTGAAGCGGATGCCGCCGGCTCGCCGTGGGCTCGACCTCGCCAGATTTCTTCGACGAAACAGCCATGTTGTGCGCCTCGAAAGCGGTTAAATGTACAAGAAATCAACACCTGGAAATGCCGAATTAGGTGGGATATCAGACGGTCGTCTTGCAGAGAAGTTTTGAGGCTGTAGAGAAATGCAATGCCATCAGAAACACAACATGACGTATAGTTTTCTCAAAAAGCTTCACCTGGCACCACAGCGGCGCCAGCCAAGCCAACGTGGGTCCCCCTGCGACTGCCGTTTGAGCCTCGGAAGTTTGCCGCATCGAGATCTGACTCAGCAAGCAACGTAGCCAGCAACCAGCAACACCATCGACAGACTGCGATCGAACCTCCAGTACATGCACCGACCTCAGAGGTTTACTCATCACTCCTGCAACACAGGCCTGTTCGTATTTAAAGCCCATCCCACGTATCATCTGACGCATCTGACGTCTTGTGGATAAACTCCGTGCCTACCCTCACGGCTAAACCTCGGCGAAAGCGCTGCCGACGGCTCGCCAACGGGAAAGGTACGAATCAGAGCACGATCAGGCCGTCCGCCATGGCAAAACCTCGGCACGCTTACGAGTGCCACTACGGTAGATCTCGAGACGCGCCAATGATGCGCGAATGTGTTCCCCCAATTCTCCACAACGAGGCGTCTCGAGATGCTCCGATGCGGTCGATAATGGTGTGCTTTTCCCGGAGAGACGGTCAGGATTCCCGTGTGGGATTGGAGGCGAGCGCGGAGGAGCGGCGTTGGAGTACTTATATCGAGGGTCGTGCGCGGTGGAGGGGGTGTGTGTAGAGCGGTGATACCCTTTTTGTTGCAAGGTCCTTTTTGTTGAGTATATCTGTCACTACACCGGGCGAATAGACGGTAGCGCGTGGTTCCTTTCACATCTTTGTTGAGTTTTTCTGGGCAATTGCTCCTCTACGACACTGCTGAGAAGATGGGTTCAAAAGTTGAGACTGTCCTCCAGTCTCTGACGTTGGAAGAGAAGATATCGCTGCTTGCTGGGAAGGACTTTTGGGAAACTGTACCTGTACCGGATAAGGGCGTCCCTGCTATCAAGGTAAGACTTGGCTCTGCAACTTTGGACTTACTTTACAGTGACTGACGCGCAGTAGACTAGCGATGGACCGAACGGTGCACGTGGCGAAGTGTTCACAGGAGGAACGCGAGCTGCATGTTTCCCTGCTGCCGTATGTTCAGCCGCGACGTGGAATCCTGAGAATGCAAAGCATATAGGCTATGCGTTGGCTGAAGAGACTAAGACGAAGAGTGCGCGAGTGCTGTATGTCTGGTGATGTACGACGCGCATATTCACTGCTAACGAAACCTCAGTCTGGCGCCCACCATGTGCAACCATAGACATCCCCTCGGTGGCCGCAACTTTGAATCCTTCTCCGAAGACCCTTATCTTGCTGGCAAGATGGCCGCCAATGTCGTCAGCGGGCTACAAGAGAAAGGCATCGCAGCGACCATCAAGCACTTTGTAGCCAACGAGCAGGAGACGGATCGCCTCAAGGTCAACGAGATTGTGTCTGAGCGTGCGCTGAGGGAAATCTACATGAAGCCCTTTGAGATCACCATCAAGGAAGCGAATCCCCTCGCTGTTATGACATCTTACAACAAAGTCAACGGAACACATGCGGATTCAAACGAGTTCCTGCTCAAGCAAGTCTTGCGTGGTGAATGGGGGTGGGAAGGACTTGTCATGAGCGACTGGGGTGGTACCAATTCCACGGCCGACTCGCTGAACGCTGGCTTAGATCTAGAAATGCCTGGTCCGACGAGGTGGCGCAGTACCGATGCTGTCCTTGAGGCTGTCAAGAAGGGCCATGTCACCGAAGCCACCATCACTGAACGAGCGAGAAATGTCCTGAATCTTATCGAGAAGGTCGGCGCGTTCGAAAACCCGGAGATTCCGCCTGAGCAGTCTATCGTCGACCCGAAGCATAGCAAACTCATTCGGGATGTTGCTGGACAGGGCATTACTCTACTAAAGAATGACGGCGTTCTGCCGCTCAGAAAGGAAGAGGTCAAGGGCAAGACGATCGGGCTGTTCGGTCTGGCTAAGGAGGCTCTTATCCATGGTGGCGGAAGTGCTTCGTTGAACGCCCACTACCGCATCACTCCCGAAGAAGGCCTCAAAGCCGCATACGGAAACGACGTGGAATTCAAGTTCGCCAAGGGAGCCGCCACGTATCGACTCATCCCAACCCTGTCAAAAGGCTGCAAAGATCTTGAGGGGAAAGACGGTTGGAAAATGGAACTCTTCAACCAGGGCAACACCAGTAAACCCATCAAGACAAAGCATGGCTACAAGGAAGCGGCATTTTCTCCACTGCTCGAACAGAGTGCCAAGGACAGCGAAGTCAGGTTTACCACCGTGTTTACTCCCAGCGAATCGGGATCTCACTACCTGGGATGCTCAGGTAAGTCCTGGCTGTACGAAATGCACGTGAGACATATACTGACTTCGTACCTCTACCTCTGCAGGCATCGGCCCCACCGTCGTCCGCGTAAACGGCGAGCTCGTCTACGAGCAAAAGCACAACTCACCAGATGCCATGGGCTTCCTCTTCGGCGGCAACCCCGAAAAAGAGTTCCGCGTCCCATTCACAGCAGGCAAGCCCTGCGAAATCCAAGTCCACTCCAAGCCGCCCGCCGGCGACTCAAAAGGAGACATTCTCGCCGGTCTCCCCGGATTCAGACTAGGCTTCATGTACGCCTCCGAGCACGATCTCGACATGGCCGCGGAAGCCAAAGCCCTCGCAGAAGAATGCGACATAGCCATCGTCTTCACAGGCCACACCCCCGTCTGGGAAACCGAAGGCCAAGACCAAGTTAGCTTTCACCTGCCCCGCGAAGGCTCCCAGGACAAGCTCGTCGAAACAGTCGCATCCGTAAACCCGCGAACCATTGTCGTAAACTCGACCGGTGTAGCTGTCGCCCTTCCCTGGCTCGACAACGTGTCCGCACTCATTCAAGCCTGGTTCCCGGGTCAAGAAGCCGGAAACGCCATTGCTGATGTCATATCCGGCGCCGTGAACCCTTCTGGCCACTTACCCATTTCATGGCCTAAACGCATCGAAGACGCGCCTGCGCATGGCCATTTCCCTGGTACGCGCGACGAAACGGGGCAGCTTACTGTCAAGTACGAAGAAGGCGTTTTTGTGGGCTACAGACACTACGATCGTATCGCTGCGGATAAGATTCATTTCCCCTTTGGGTTCGGATTG